GATCTGCCTGTACCGGCTCTCCCTCGCGCTGATCTGCGGCTCTCCCTCGCGCTGATCTGCGGCTCTCCCTCGCGCTGATCTGACTTGCTCTGGTCTGCGCGCAACGGTGGGCGGGAAGGGGGGGGGGGCGCTTTTGGAAGAGTTGTGCGACACAACGAATCGATGACGCAATTCGTTGCCAACGCTTTTAGTAATCGATTTTCATCGAATTCATCGATTCGTTGTTGCAGCCCTACTTCACAATACCCCATAGATTTTCTATGGGGTTAAGGTCAGGCGAGTTTGCTGGCCAATCAAGGACAGGGATACCATGGTCCTTGAACCAGGTGCTGGTGGTTTTGGCACTGTGTGCAGGTGCCAAGTCCTGTTGAAAGGTGAAGTCTGCATCCCCATAAAGTTGGTCAGCAGCAGGAAGCATGAAGTGCTCTAAAACTTCCTGGTAGACGGCTGCATTGACCCTGGACCTCAGGAAACAGAGTGGGCCAACACCGGCAGATGACATGGCACCCCACACCATCACTGACGGTGGAAACTTTACACTGGACCTCATGCAACGTGGATTCTGTGCTTCTCCGCTCTTCCTCCAGACTCTGGGTCCTTGATTTCCAAAGGAAATGCAGAACTTGCTTTCATCAGAAAACATAACTTTGGACCACTCAGCATCAGTCCAGTCCTTTTTGTCCTTGGCCCAGGCGAGACGCTTCTTGCGCTGTTTCTTGTTCAAGAGTGGCTTGACACACGGAATGCGACACCTGAATCCCATGTCTTTCATGAGTCTCCTCGTGGTGGTTCTTGAAGCGCTGACTCCAGCTGCAGTCAACTCTTTGTGGATCTCCCCCACATTTTTGAATGGGTTTGTCGTCACAATTCTCTGCAGGGTGCGGTTATCCCTAGAGCTTGTACACTTTTTTCTACCACATTTTTTCCGTCCCTTCGCCTGTCTGTTAATGTGCTTGGACACAGAGCTCTGCGAACAGCCAGCTTCTTTAGCAATCACCTTTTGTGTCTTGCCCTCCTTGTGCAAGGTGTCAATGATTGTCTTTTGGACAGCTGTTAAGTCAGATGTCTTCCCCATGATTGTGGTGCCTTCAAAACAAGACTGAGGGACCTTTTAAAGGCCTTTGCAGGTGTTTTGAGTAAATCAGCTGATTATAGTGGCAGCAGGTGTCTTCTATATTCAGCCTTTTCAGAATATTCTAATTTTTTGAGATACCAAATTTGGAGTTTTCATTAGTTGTCACTTATGAATATCAAATTTAAATGTAATGAACATTGGAAATACATTGGTCTGTGTGCATTGCATGAATATAATGTACAAGTTTCACGTTTTGAATGGAATTACTGAAATATTTTCAACCTTTTGATGATATTCTAATTTACTGGCCAGCACCTGTATAGTTTAGCAGCTAAAGAAAGTTGATTTGCTCTTAAAGACCAAGTTAATTGAGAAACTTGTTTTTTTTACCAGGTTTTTATTTTTTTATTTGGTCACTCTGAGTTCAACATGCAGGCTGAGTGTGAAAATAGTCTTCTACCTCCATTTCCATTAGCCACCAATAGAAAATAGATGAGCAAACGCTCTGGTGAGAAAAGCCACTCGTATCTATGTCACATGTTGAATTAGCATTCATGAACTCGCCCATCTTGGCTCTGGACAGGGAAGGCTGTTGTTGGATTACTGTCCAGGAGAAGGCAGAGCGTGTCTCAGCTAATATAAGCTAACTATTAGCATTAGCAACTCCACAACATGGCAGAGCACCTTCAGGCTTATGTTATTTGTGGGGATAAAACATCAGTGTTGCAAAGCAAACAGACTCAGTGGTAGAGTCGTGTTGTTGTTAGCCAATCAGAGGTGAGATGTCTAAATATCAGGAAATAAGACTCCAAATCCTTGGTGCTCCTCTTGCTAACTTCTATTTCCTGTGACAAGAGCTCCAGGGATGTATTCCCACACGGATCAACTCTTAATGCATTCACTTATACTAGAGACCACTGCAAATGTGTTGGAAAAAGTGAGTTAACTTGGTATTTATGTGTAGCACCCAGACAGACCAGGCCTACCTGTGTTTAATATGTATGAAGTACGGGTCGTAACACCAAAAAGGAATCGGTAGAAACAGTGGGTGCACTGCGTTTTCGTCCTGCACAATCTACACAGCATCATTATTAGAAAGCTAGTGCTGAACTCCTCATTTCAGATTTTACTACTGATAAAATGTTGTTGAGTAACACAATAGCTGATTAGTACCTGTACTAATAATAATAAACATGTCCGTAGAGCTGGGACGATAAACAATCAGTTAATCGTAGTCTCTACAACCTCAAAAAACAGAGATCAGACGTTTCATTACTGCGGAATGTTTATCATTTGAGTAAGTAAAGGCTTAAATGTTGCATATTAAAGGGGTTGCTTGCATTATTATAATAACATTACATAAGTGGTTGTTTTAGTCTTGATAATGTTGATAGCAGATCTTGTCGTCCCAGGCCTGAATGTCCGTAAAACCCAGTAATTCTGCTTCTTCTCCTTTTCTGACACATTTTAGAGTGACACAATATTCTGTTATAACTGTTGGGTTCTGAGGTGGATTAAATGTGTGGTCACGCTGTGTTGGGCGATGGGACGAATGAATTGGCCATCAGCGATGGGTTGAGACGTTACAGTTGGTTTTTTACAGAAGGCCAGTTGTTTGTTTGTTTGCCCGTGCGTTTGTTTCTTAATGACAAATATTTTACACGTAACGCACAGAGAACATCGTGGAGGTAACAGTCAAGAAAAGGTCTCCATCAGCGCATCTGAGCATCTTTACTACTTCTCCGCCTCCTGCTGCTGACAGTGCACGCACTGAGGTGGGGCTCAGGGAGCGCCGTGTTGAGTGGAAAGTGGAAATCCTTCTATCTTTCAGAGTCTGGAAGATTTCTGGTTAGTTTATTTGGAGAAATGTTTCCTGTTTTAAAAAGTTGGGCTGAAGTAGCGTTCATCGTTATTCAGCACCTGCTTCGAGTGTGTCAGCGGAGCGTGGATCCATCCAGAACATTTAAACAGCCACGAGTCTGTCTGAGACAAAAATCCAGCCCCCATAACCCCTTCAGCAAGTTCCCTAGAGACGTGTGATTACACACAAGCGGCAGGTGACCAGTTCAGGTTGACTCGGAGCAGGAAGAACGTGCGTTCGGGCCGCAGCAGGTGAAGAGTTCCTTCTTTAAGTGAAATTGTTTAATTGCATTGTATATGTTGCTGGAGCCCTCTGTTCAGCTTGTTTGAACTAAATATTAATTAAAATGAATAGAAATTTAACAAATGATTATTTAAAAATGAAAGTGATGGGGATACATGGGTCACGTGACTTCTGGCAGCGAGCACATGCTGCTTCAGAGTGTCCAAACGCAGCAGCGATTCATTTCCTTTCCTACTCAGTCATGACAGGAAGAAAGCCAGTAGTCTATGTTCAGAAAAAACCATTTAGCTACAATAAAATAGCACAATGGTGGGTACCAAAGACCAGGCTTCTTTTTAACACTTTGTGTCATACGTGACTCTACCAAACTACAAATACTAAATTTAACAAAAAGAACAATCTACAGTTCTGTTCCAGCAAACATATGCACTGTGCTTGTTTAAAAACAAATCAGTGTTTTGGCTTCTTTTGTGTTTGCAAATCAGTCCGTGCGTCATGACGTCACACGCCCACGCCCGTCGTCTTTTTTTGGACTGACGATGGGAAAATTTCTGCTAATGGCCCAACCCCAACAAGTAGATCTACCGTTTCAGCCTCAGCTCAGTCAACAGTGATTGCTTTGTGTCTCTGTGAGGTGCATAATGTGACCGCCCCGTGCTACTAAGACAACCAGCAGGAAGATGATCAATGACGTCACATTCTTCCACTGCTGATTCAGCTTTACATTAATTCTGTGGTTAAAATAGAATTTGTTCTAAGATCTGAAACCACTTTAGAGGAGGAACATTTAGAGTTTTTAGAAGTGTGTGTGGAATGTGTCATTGGGTGTATTTTATGCTTAAAGCCGGGCGTACACTGTGCGACTTTTTCACTCGCAGCGTTCAGCTTCAGCTCAAACTGTACGACTTCCTCGCAGAGCAGATCTCACGAGTCATGTGCTCACACTGCACGACCCAGTTCTCGCATGCGACCTGACTGCTCACACTGTACGTCTGGTAGCAACACGTCGGCCCTAAAAATGTGCTAAAAATAGCAGTTTTTACTCAACACGTCAGACTTTTTTGTCTTGCCTGTTGTTCTTCGGGAGTGCTGCAGGAGGACACACAGGGATTTATGGGGGTTGGATGAGGAAAACGAAATAAAGAAAGTGAATCTGTGTTTTGTGATCAGTTTAATTTGACATGAACACGACAAACACGCTTTCTTGACAATCTTTGTGAGTAAAAAAACGTGTAGAAACAAAAACGAACAGCGTGTGTTATTAGGGAAATAGCGAGCGACCGGCCGGCGTTGATGCAGGATTGCGCGCGCATGCGCCGTGAGCGGTTCTGATACTTTTTGGATCGTAGCTGCTCGCAGCTGCTCGCAGCGCCGCTTCAACAGTGCGATACCCTCACGAGGGACGAGCGAAATATTAAACACACCAGAAGTCCCTGCGACCTCACGACTGCTGATCGGCGGCTGGTCACGTGGTGTTAATCGCCTCTCGTAACCCCCTGTACACTACACGACCGCTCAGCGCAAAACTCTCCCCGATGTCGTGGCTTCTCGCACGACTGGAAAATCGGCTCAAAAAAGTGAAAAAGTCGCACAGTGTACGCCCGGCTTTACTGGCATACACTGCTCATCTAAAATCAATAACACATCTTATCTGAGTTCACTACCTGCAGCTGTTATTTGACTTGTTTGCTGCCCTAAATAAAGGTTAAACCAAAACTCCTCTAAGTTGTTGCTGTGTATGCAAAATGATATCGGTCAGATACTAGCGTAGCATTTTAATAACCTAGCATGTCATTTTATTATGTGTTTGTTTGATCTCAGAGTAAAGATGGGAAAACCCCCCTACACATGACCGCGATCCACGGGAGGTTTTCAAGGTCTCAAGCAATCATTGAAAATGGTGAGGCTCCTTCTTAAAATGTAGTTTCATGAACTTTATTGGTCTTGCTGCAATGGAAAAGTAAAACTTGTCTCTAGCTAATTGCTATCCATATTTCTTCCCCCCACCCCACCCCAAAATAAAGGTGCTGAGATTGACTGTGAAGACAAAAACGGAAACACACCACTACACATCGCAGCGCGATATGGACACGAGCTCCTGATTAACACACTCATCACCAATAAAGCTGACACAGCGAAGTAAGGAAGCCTTTCTGCTGCTGCTTGTTTTTTCCCCTCTGACTTAAGTGAACATTGCAGAAGAGCTGCAGGTTTTAACAATTTGACATCTATGACCGACAATTGTTAGCATGTGATCAAATGAGCCAATTCATCAAGTTCTGTTATAATTGACGAAAACAGTTTTGTTTGATTTTCAGACGAGGAATTCACGGCATGTTTCCGCTGCATTTAGCTGCTCTCAGCGGCTTCTCGGACTGCTGTCGTAAGCTCCTGTCATCAGGTGATTATTCTTTATTCCACAAAATCACATCTGATGTTCAGTTCTTTGACAGTCAGATGTTGCCCTCTGTCATCTTGCGATGTTGTTGATAACTCGTCCCTCTGTGCAGGCTTTGATATCGATACTCCTGATGACTTTGGAAGGACCTGCTTACACGCTGCAGCTGCGGGAGGGTGAGTCCAGCTGATGATCATCTATGAATATGTACTTAAAGATGTTACAGAAGAGAATGTTTGTGGTTACTCATTTTTATCCTCCTAGGAACCTGGAATGTCTCAACCTTCTTCTCAACACTGGGGCAGACTTTAACAGAAAGGACGGCTTTGGCAGGTTTGTGGTGTTTACAGATGGACCTGGATCACCAGACCACATTTGTACTGGTAGCTAAAGCTGTTTGTTTTTGTTATCCAGGACTCCTTTGCACTATGCTGCTGCCAACTGTAACTACCACTGCCTGTTTGCTCTGGTGGGCTCGGGGGCTGGCGTCAACGACCTGGACGAGCGGGGATGCACTCCCCTCCACTACGCCGCTGCTTCGGACACAGATGGAAAGTCAGTAACATTTTACATGTTTAGCGTTTTCTGTGTGAATATTTTTGTATTCAGGATTACTGGCATTATCAATAACTGAGTACGAGGAAAACTGGAGCGTGAGATCGATAGGTGGATTGGTGCTGCATCTGCAGTGATGCGGGCGTTGTACCGGTCTGTTGTGGTGAAGAGAGAGCTGAGCTGGAAGGCGAGGCTCTCGATTTACCGGTCGTTCTACGTTCCTACCCTCACCTATGGTCACGAGCTTTGGGTAGTGACCGAAAAAATGAGATCGTGGATACGAGCATCCGAAATGAGTTTTGTCCGCAGGGTGGCTGGGCTCTCCCTTAGAGATGAGGTGAGAAGCTCGGTCATCCAGGAGGGGCTCGGAGTAGACCCGCTGCTCCTCCACATCTAGAGGAGCCAGTTGAGGTGGCTCGGACATCTGGTCAGGATGCCTCCTGGACGCCTCCCTGGTGAGGTTTTCCGGGCACGTCCAACCGGGAGGAGACCTAAAGGTAGACCCAGGACACGGTGGAGGGACTATGTCTCTCATCTGGCCAGGGAACGCCTTGGGACTCCCCCGGAAGAGCTGGCCCAATTGGCTGGGGAGAGGGAAGTCTGGGCGTCTCTGCTTAGGCTACTGCCCCCATGACCCGATTCTGGATAAGCGGCTGAAGATGGATGGATGGATCAGGGTTTCCCTTACATAGGCGTAGCCGTGGCAACCCGCCACGGCTGAAATCCCACTGCCACGCCTACAAGATCCCAAGTATTTATTTATTTATTTATTTATTTTTTTTTTTTGCGCTGTTTCCCAAAGAAGCAGCAGGAACTACTATGTTGTCGCTTGTGGTCACAGCCGGCGGGCAGCAAGGAGGAGCAGGCAGGGCAAGGTGAAGTTACTGAGTTTAAAATTAGAAAGGTAGCAGTGGATATAATGCTTTTTGGTTTACATGTTTCAATAGCATTAAGATAAACGAGTGTTAACGATCTTGACAGGTTCTCCTCCCCCCACCAGGCTAACCATCACTTATTCATGTAAAAAAAAATTTTTTTTGTGTCTGACTTTAACCGCATCTAATACTGTATTACGGCGTGAGCGCAACAGCGACAACTTAAGATCGATGTGTGAGCAGCCTGAGAGGTCGGGTGTTTCATCTGAACTCTTAAAACCTCCAGCAGGCTACGCTGCACTATTGACGCGTTAGCGCGCGGCGCTAACAACTTAGCGACGTGACATGTCTCGGAGAAAGCGTAAAAACACTTTGGACGCTTCTTCTGAAGCGGGAAAATAACACCTCTTCTTAAGCAGAGCACGACGCCGCCTCGGCTCGTTCACCCTCTGCCGAGCCGGACTGAGCTCGATAGCATTGACCCAGCACAGTCACTGGGTCGTTGGAGCTGCCCCGTGACTGCCTGATGGAGAACCAGCGGGTTTCATCAGACTCGTAAAGTTTCTTGTTTTTGCTGGGGACTCCCTGTATTTTAACGCTCCCTCCTGCAGTCTTCCCCTATTAACATTTAAAATGATTCTGTAAATTCCGTGTATCAATAGAAAAAATCTCTGCCAGCTGCAGTAAATGTAGTTTCCAAATAATAAAAAAGAGGTGCATTCATCTGTGTATCTCCTTTGATCCGCATTAGTGATATTCTCAGCACCAGAACAGTGAAGTAAAGAAAGATTCCTGAGTTTGTTAGTAATTTTATTTATTAGGTGCATCTAACCTGTTTTATTTTTCTCTGAAATGAGACCAAATCAGTGCTTCTATGGGTTGTCTCCAATCTGCACTAGAAAATTTTACTTTATTTAGAGACGTGTCATAATTTCTCCCCAAGCCCCACCGCCACAGCTGGAAAAATTCCTAGGGGAAACACTGGATGGATGGATGGATGGATGGGTGGGTGGGTGGCCTCATTGAGAGTCTGTTTCCCTCTTGAGTAAACGTGATTGTTGTGTCTTCAGGTGCCTGGAATACTTACTGAGAAATGATGCAAATCCGGGGATCCGGGACAATCAGGGCTACAACACCGTGCACTACGCCTCGGCATATGGACATCGGCTTTGTCTGGAGCTGGTGAGAAATACATGCCATTTAAAATCCTCCATCATCTTGTTTTTATGGTGGTTCAATTCAGTTTCATTAGGATGTGTATTGGTGAAATTCTGGCAATACGATACGTATCACAATACATGTTAAAGGTTATACACGATACGATATACAGTGGGGCAAAAAAGTATTCAGCCACCGATTGTGCAAGTTCTCCCACTTAAAATGATGACAGAGGTCAGTAATTTACATCATAGGTACACTTCAACTGTGAGAGACAGAATGTGGGGAAAAAATCCATGAATTCACATGGCAGGATTTTTAAAGAATTTATTTGTAAATCAGGGTGGAAAATTAACAAAAATTCAACTCAATACTTTGTAACATAACCTTTGTTGGCAATAACAGAGGTCAAATGATTACTATAGGTCTTTACCAGGTTTGCACACACAGTAGCTGGTATTTTGGCCCATTCCTCCAGGCAGATCTTCTTGAGAGCAGTGATGTTTTGGGGCTGTCGCCAAGCAACACGGACTTTCAACTCCCTCCACAGATTTTCTATGGGGTTGAGGTCTGGAGACTGGCTAGGCCACTCCAGGACTTTCAAATGCTTCTTACGGAGCCACTCCTTTGTTGCCCGGGCGGTGTGTTTGGGATCATTGTCGTGTTGGAAGACCCAGCCACGTTTCATCTTCAAAGCTCTCACTGATGGAAGGAGGTTTTGGCTCAGAATCTCACGATACATGGCCCCATTCATTCTGTCCTTAACACGGATCAGTCGTCCTGTCCCCTTAGCAGAAAAACAGCCCCAAAGCATGATGTTCCCACCCCCATGCTTCACAGTAGGTATGGTGTTCTTGGGATGCAACTCAGTATTCTTCTTCCTCCAAACATGACGAGTTGAGTTTATACCAAAAAGTTCTACTTTGGTTTCATCTGACCACATGACATTCTCCCAATCCTCTGCTGGATCATCCATGTGCTCTCTGGCAAACTTCAGACGGGCCTGGGCATGCACTGGCTTCAGCAGCGGAACACGTCTGGCACTGCAGGATTTGATTCCTTGCCGTTGTAGAGTATTACTGATGGTGACCTTTGTTACTGTGGTCCCAGCTCTCTGCAGGTCATTCACCAGGTCCCCCCGTGTGGTTCTGGGATTCTTGCTCACCGTTCTCATGATCATTGTGACCCCACGGGATGAGATCTTGCGTGGAGCCCCAGATCGAGGGAGATTATCAGTGGTCTTGTATGTCTTCCATTTTCTGATAATTGCTCCCACAGTTGATTTTTTCACACCAAGCTGCTTGCCTATTGTAGATTCACTCTTCCCAGTCTGGTGCAGGTATACAATTCTTTTCCTGGTGTCCTTCGAAAGCTCTTTGGTCTTGGCCATAGTGGAGTTTAGAGTCTGACTGTTTGAGGCTGTGGACAGGTGTCTTTTATACAGATAATGAGTTCAAACAGGTGCCATTAATACAGGTAACGAGTGGAGGACAGAAAAGCTTCTTAAAGAAGACGTTACAGGTCTGTGAGAGCCAGAGATTTTCCTTGTTTGAAGTGACCAAATACTTATTTTCCACCCTGATTTACAAATAAATTCTTTAAAAATCCTGCCATGTGAATTCATGGATTTTTTTTCACAGTTGAAGTGTACCTATGATGAAAATTACTGACCTCTGTCGTCATTTTAAGTGGGAGAACTTGCACAATCTGTGGCTGACTAAACACTTTTTTGCCCCACTGCATAACATATATACGATACGTTCAGTCAACGATTAGATAGAGATTTTTTTTTTTGTAGGAAAATACAATAAACAGTCCAAACCGATACTTAACATGTTTAACATGAGGTATCTGAACCATAACAGAGGGATTTACATTTCAATGGTGGAAATGAAGCCCATTGCACACTGCTGCCAACTAGCGGTCGGCATTTTAATTGCACCGAAAGAAAAGAAAATAAGCAAATGTTTGACTGTTAATTCTTCCAAAAATTAGACACACAGCTTTTGAATATTGATATAATATTGCAGGAAAAAATATCATGATATATTGCCATATTGACATTTTCTTACATCCCTAATTTTCATATTTATTCTTTGATAGATTGCAAGTGAAACACCATTAGATGTGGTAAGTGTGCATTTAAAATTTAACGAAAGTAAAAATCTAAACGACTATTTAAGAATGAAAATGTTAACAAATGTTACCTGAATTATTCAGCTGATGGAAACCTCAGGCACCGACATCCTGAATGACTCTGACGTGTGGGCTCCCGTCAGCCCTCTGCACCTCGCTGTAAGTCATCTTAATACTTGGTTTTTATGTTTTATTTAAACATTTCTGTTGTTTAGGTTGTTTTCCTTCTGAATCTTCTTCTCAAGAAGAACCAATGATTTAAACGTCTATATCAACTTTCCTTTGGGTCATAAAAAGTCACAGAAAATCTTACATTTATTCACTTCCTTTTTAGGCCTTAAGTGTTTTAAAAACATCCAGATTTTTAATACTGGTTCTTAAAGCACGATACATGTCCTAAGCTGGGACAGGTGCTTGTTTTTGCCTTTCTATTGATGCTTTACGGTTTTCTAGAGGAATGCACTGGTGGTAGGGCTGCAACAACAAATCAATAAAATTGATGCCGAAATGCACTAGCAACACATTTTGTCATCAATTTATTGTGTTGTACAACTTTTTTTTGAGTTGCACAACCTTTAACCGTCAATGCGTGCAGCTCATGTGCAGGAGGCAACAGAGCAGACCAAGGCAGATCAGAACGAGAGAGAAAGCCGGTGTTTTGATGAGTAACGATACACTTAGAACAGTAAGTTGCCTACTGAAGAAGAAGAAGAAGAAAAAAGTATCATTTCTATAGCGCCTCTCAAGATTAAAATCACGAGGCGCTTCACAAAAACAAAAAAAGTAAAAATATAAAAAAGCATTTAGAAAATGTTTAAAAATATATTTAAAATGAGCAAAAATAGACTATTGTGATAAAAATATGTTAAGAAAGAGAGCGAGTGAATAGGAAAGAGGGAAACCAGTGGATCCTGAGGAAGGTGGAATAGATGGGGAGAGCAGAATAAAGAGAGAGTGGTGAAGAAGGTCATACAAAAGCCAGCTTGAACAAGTGAGTCTTCAGCTGCTTTTTAAAGGAGACCACTGATCTCAGGCTCAGGGGGAGAGAGTTCCAGAGTCTGGGGGCCACAGCAGCAGATGATCTGTCACCTTTGGTCTTTAGCCTGGTGTTGCACAACCAGTAGGCTTTGATCACTGGACCTCAGGGACCTGCTGGGGGTGTAGGGACTAAGAAGATCACCAATGTAAGATGGTGCTTGTCCATGTAAGGCCCTATAGACCAGAACCAGGATCTTGAAATGAACCCTGAAGTTGACTGGCAGCCAGTGAAGCTGGAGGAGAAGCGGTGTGATGTGGGTGTGTTTGGAGGACTTGGTCAGAAGCCAAGCACAGGCATTCTGAACCACCTGTAGACGGTTCAGGGAGGTTCTGCTCAGACACGTGAAAAGAGAGTTACAGTAGTCTAAGCGTGAGGAGATGAAGGTGTGGAGAACTGTCAAGTTCAGAGCGGGACAGAATGGGACTCAGCTTAGCAACGTTCCTGAGATGGAAGAAGGAAGAGCCAACAGGAGAACTGACATGAGAATTCAGGGTGAGAGCTGGGTCAAAGGTCACACCAAGATTCCTGACAGAAGGTTTGGTGTGAGAAGCAAGCTGACCAAGAGAGTCTCTGACTTTGGGAACCAGCTTGTCTGGGGCACAGATGAGGATCTCAGTCTTATCTTCATTCAGCTGTAGAAAGCTCCCAGCCATCCAGGTTTTGATAGAGTCTAAGCAGGTGTGTAACAGCTGCAGCTTAGACATCTCATGGGGTTTAAAGGAGATGTACAGTTGGATGTCATCTGCATAAAGATGGTAGGAGATTCCTTTGAAGGATCTCAGGATGTGCTGAAGAGGAAGCAGATAGAGGAGGAAGAGCAGAGGCCCCAGCACAGAACCTTGTGGGACACCATGGGTATGGGAGGTGGTGGAGGACCTAAACTTGGAGACGGCCACAGAAAAGGAGCGCTCAGAAAGATATGAGGAGAACCACTCCAGAGCAGATCCTGATAGGCCTACCCAGTCTCTCAGCCTCTCCAGTAGCAGGTGATGGTCAACAGTGTCAAAAGCTGCAGTCTGGTCCAGCAGGACCAGACAGAAGAGCTGTTTCAGTAGAATGAGCTCTACGAAAACCTGACTGGAAGCTATCATAGATGTTATGTTCATCAAGAGCAGCTGTGAGTTGTTTAGCCACAACCTTTTCCAAGATCTTGGAGATGAACGGAAGTTTAGAGATGGGTCTGAAGCTGCTATTGAGAGAGGGGTCGAGACTCAGTTTTTTTAAGAAGCGGGTGGATTACAGCTTTCTTAAAGTAAGCAGGGACCTGACCAGAAACCAGAGAAGCATTAATTATAGCGAGCACGCTGGGACCAATGGACTGAAAAGCACTTTTAAACAAAGATGAGGGTAAGATGTGGAGGGGGCATGCAGAGGTCTTCATAGAGTAAACTAGTTTGGTTAACTCAGGCAAAGAAACAGGAGCAAAGCTATCTAGGATGATGGGCCTGGTTGGAGTCGGGAGAGGCGACGATAAGGCTGAAGGAGAGATGCTAGATCTAACCTTATTGACTTTGTCCACAAAGTAAGACAGAAAGTTCTCACAGTCTGTAACAGAGTGGATGGAGGCTGTAGAAGAGGCAGGAGAGACGATGCTGCTGATGGGGTTAAACAGCACCTTGGGGTTCCCTTTGCTCTGGAACACCAGGTTGGAGAAATAGGAAACCCTCGCATCTCTGACTGCAGAGTTAAAGGATGTCAGAAGATCCTTTAGGTGCAGCAGATGGACGTGGAGACAGGTTTTCTTCCACAAGCGCTCAATTTTTCTGCATTAGCGCTTCAGGCTGTGAAGGCTGAAATTAAACCAGGGAGTAGGGTTCACTGCAGGAACTGATCTGGTTCTGACAGGACAGATGTTGTCCAGAATGGAGAGGCAGTGCTCGTTAAACTGAGAAGTTAAGGAATCTGGGTCGTTATCAGAAGAACAGGGTGGATCAAAGCAGCAGAAAAATTGCTAGCTGTGCTCTCATTAAGAAAACGAGAACTAACCATACGGTGAGCAGGAGGTGGGGACGCAGAAACTGACAAGTTAAAGAAAATGCAATGGTGATCTGAAATATAAACATCCTCAGGACAAACACTGTCAGCATTTAGACTCAGGGTAAAAACAAGGTCTAGAGTTTGCCCCCTGGTGTGTGTGGGGCCAGAAACATGCTGGGTAAAGCTGAAGGAGTCCATCAGGCTGGAGAAATTCATGGCAAAGTAATCAGAGGGATCATCAATGTGGATGCTAAAGTCACCAACAATCACCAGTCTGGACAGCTTCACAGTGGAGGATAGAAAGTCACTAAACTCCTGAAGGAAAGAACTGTTTGGACCAGGTGGACGATAGATCACAACGGGTCCTTATGCCCGACTTTAATCAGCTGCAGTTCAAAGGAAGCAAAGTGACCAGAGGTCGTAGAGCTACATGGAAGATGGTCTCTGAAAACAACAGCTAGGCCTCCACCACGACCAGAACCCAGGGGCTGGCTAAGAAAAGAATAACCACTCGGGCAGAGTTCAATCAGAGCAGGATAATCAGATGTTTGCTGCCAAACTTCAGTCAGAAACAGAAAATCCAGGTTTTTAGAGAGAATTAGATCATTGAGCAGGAAGGGCTTATTGTTAACAGAGCGGGTGTTTAATAGAGCCATGCTGAGTGAGGTGGAGGAATCCGAAACTACAGAAACAGTTGGAGTAAATGGACGTAAATTAGCGGGGTTAGATCCACGGTGTTTATAAAAACCACTTATGGAGGGAACAGGAGGAGAAACCACTGAGGAATGAGGATAAACCAGCCTTAAAAAACGTGGACGGACGAACCGCGCTGCAACGCGGCCTGGCGCGAATGTGGAAGTGGTGCTCAGGTCACCAAACAAAGGAAGAGAAGCCAGAAGATCACGCCGATGTTTACTAGATAAACCACGCTTTAAGAGAAGTCTTATTCTCACCTGGATTCCTGCTCGTTTACCTCTTTTTCTCTGACGTTTTCCTGGGACCGGATAAACATCGCTGGAGGCGGGCAGCTCGTGACCATTGTTTGGCTCCGGGCCAGTGCGCCACTCAGGTAAACAAACAGGATGGTAAATCCTCGGTGCATCTTGGGCGATCGTGAACGAACGGAAGGACAAAAGAGTCTGGCGATCATAGGAGATGGTAGCGGTGACACTACTGAAGAGGATCGCAGACAGGAGCAAGGTGGAAAAGAGGAGGTTAGTGGAGAAAAGTTTGAAAAGGTGGCCGGTGACTGCGGCTAAGCCAAGCACAGGCGCCATCTTGTTGCCGACCCAATAAATGATGCACTGACGCACAATGAGCTCATCTTGGTGGTGTGGGAAAACAGAAACCAGCAAAGACACAAATGTAGAAACGGTTTGGGATCAAAAGTGCAACTATGGGCAGATTAGCTAATGCTAGCAGGTAGCAGGCTGATGATCAAGTGGGGTTCTGAAAAAAACATGATGGTCGTGAAACTAAGAACATCTAAACTCTACAAGTGGAAGAAAAGTCCCCACCATCCTGTTTATCCTTAGCTGACTGCAGCGCTATGGAGCAGAACCGCTGCTGTCAGGTTCGAGTCTGCTCTGCTAAACACTGGGCTGGGCGGATCGATCTAAAATATCGATAATATCGATCTAACGTTGGTATTGAGTATTTACTAGATACCTGCGTGATGGAATTGATTCCGTTTCTTCTAGCCTGGCAAGCCATGACTTACTCACTGCTACAGATGTCGGTCAAGGAGGCAGTCCACCAAACTCCTTCAAAGAAGATGCAAAACACATCCTTTTCCTAAATAAATTTTAGTACTTCCATCTGATCTTGATTCAAACAAAAGCCAAAGTCATAATAGTCCAAACTTGATGCCAAAGCCGTTTCAAACGAGCGGCTGACCGCTGACTAGTCACGTTTGGGTTTTTTCTCCAATAACATCCCGACTACTTAGTGTTGCTATTGGCCCATGAAATCTATATAGCGCCATGATTGGACCATTACAGAAGGGCAGCCATCTTGATTTGTAGTTTACCTGGCTGATACATGTGATTGGACCGTTTTGAGCGGCAGCCATGTTTGTTTGCAGGGACATCCCGCCTACCTCGCTAAAAGAGCACTGTGACTGGCCCAAAAAAACCATTAAAGCACTGTGATGGGAACGCCACGGATGTCAGTCAATGGGGCAGTCTGCCGTTACATAAAAAAAAAAAAGTAAAACAGCGCACCAGCACGAGACAAGCACAGAACAGCAGAGAGCGCTGTTGTGGCTGCGTGATGGCAGACCGAAAAAGGAGCGCCGTTTGGAATTTTTTTTACACAGCTTTTTAGATTTCAAATAGAAAAAAATCTTGAGTCTGTTAACCATTTTTAAACCATTTTGAGTTTCCTAATAACAACTTTATTTGCCTGAAAATGTTCCCTGTATTTTATTATCATCGCACACATGATTTATTAAAGGAAAACTTACAAAATAATTAAGTAATCAATAAAACTTGAGAATCTTGTCTGAAAATTCAAGTTTTATTGATCTTATTTATCTTAATAAATCCCACAAAACTAGATGGTACTAGACTAGTAAAAAGTATCAGTATTGGTATCGGTATCGGCAATACTAACCCCTGTATTTACTTGGTATCGGATCGATACCAAATTTTGCAGTATCGTACAGCACTACTAAACACTGCTGCAGGATTATGGCAAGCTACTGTAGCATGTAATTCACAAACGCGTCTATCTGTGAGCATAATTTAAAGGGACTTTATGGAGTTTAGAATTTTTATGCTCGCGATTGCCCCCTCAGGCCGAAAGTGTAACGGCAGCTTCAATAGTAGGCGCGTGCACGAGGCGCGCATGCTGTACGTGCACACTCCTTAACGAAAATAACCGCTGAGACAGTCCTGTGTGTGTGTGTGTGTGTGTGTGTGTGTGTGTGTGTGTGTGTGTGTGTGTGTGTGTGTGTGTGTGTGTGTGTGTGTGTGTGTGTGTGTGTGTGTGTGTGTGTGTGTGTGTGTGTGTGTGTGTGTGTGTGTGTGTGTGGAACACGCAGCTAATTAATTAAATAATTTGGTTCTGTACCTTTCTCTTCAGCACAGCCGACAAAGGTTTATGATGGGTCAGTCCTCCTGCATGCTCAGATCATTCCCTTCCCTTGCTTGAAAAATTGTTCCAAAATGAAAGTTGAACCCACATCTTTTTTGTCTGTGAATTCAATGCCGTTCGGCGAGTCTCAAATAAAAATTTGGGCATCTTACTGTAAAAAAATACATCATTAATGTAAAAAAATAAACTATGTTGACATCCAGAATCAAACCCGGGTCTTCAGCATGAGAGACCAACGTCTTACTAGGTGAGCTACAGCGCTGGTGTCATCTTTTGTATCTGTAACTTTTATATCATTGATGACAGCTGAAACAACGTTCAAAGAACGATTCGGAGCGAAAATGGCTATTTTGTTGCTAATTTGCAGGAAATATCTAGAAGAAAGTAGCTGAGGGTCCTCAGAAATGTAGCTAGGTTCATCACTAGGCGTTAGGAACAGCGACAAAGTCGCTGTTCCTCTCTCTCTGCTGCTAAATCAGAATCAGAAAAACTTTATTTATTTATTCCCGAGCGGCAATTAAAATTAAAGCTACTGATAGCAAATGCTACGGGCTATGCCTGAGCGTGAACGCACATGAAGCAGCCTGCTCGACCCAAGCAGCTCTCTTTTTCTGTGATTTTACAGGAAAAACAGGCAATCACAGTAAAAATGCCAGGGCTCATTCTACAGGACCAGGGCATTGCAGGAGAATGTATGAAGAAGACATTTATTATTTCTATACATGTTTTGGCTGTCAAACTTCCATAACGCCCCTTTAAATTGGTTTATTGCTAGCTTGTACATAATAAACGTGTCACCATGCAGTAGAAATGAAATGTTATTAGCATATTCAGTAGCTTACTACTGAGCATGTTAATGAAATACATTAAATTTTACTAATTATAGTTTAATTATGGATATATTTAGGTGATGGCATGTTGTTTTGCACACTACTGAACTGTTTTCTAATTATGCTTTGCTAAATAAAGTAAAGGAAGGAGAGTAAAAATGTTTCCCTAGCAGTGTTTAGCTCATTCACTGCCAATGATGACTAAAGTTGTCATTTGCATTTTTTTACTGTGTGGGCGTCGGAACGAGCCCCCGCACCGTGAGAACGAACATCCCAGCTCTAAAGCTGATCTTCATCCGTGTACGTCACACATCATGTGATCAGGAAGCAGAACATCCATGTGTTAGGAGATCGTTTTGGGCCAGTGCTGTAAAAAAAAAAAAAAAAAGAGGAGCGAACTGGAAAAGCGTCTGCCGATCACAATTCAACAACAGATTATGAAAGAACGGATAACACTCGAAACGCTCGGATTCTTCCTGATGTAAGAGGCGAGTCCCCGCTTTGTTTTGGTTGTTTTGGCATTGACATCATCCTAGCGCGCAACGTTCTGTGACTCTTAAAAAAACAGTAAAAACGGTGAAAAACGCTGGCAGCGAAGGGCTTTACCGATCAGGAAACTGCTGGCAGTGAATGAGTTAAATGTTCCCATTTAATCCAATTAATCGAGTCGAGATCCCCATCCGAGTAGTCGATGATCCAAATAATCGTTGGTTGCAGCCCTAACTGGTGGCATTAGTTGTTCCATGTTTTGTAGTTTATAATGATTTCAAGTGTTGTTACAAATACTACAAGTCCCATGATGCAGTGCAGCAGCTTGTATCAGAAGGGATTTATTGATTAACAATCAGCCTCCCTGGGAAATAACCGGCTGCTTTGCTTTTAACTGATTTGTTGTAGAGTTGTTTAAGAAACCGAAATCCAAATATTCCAGTTCATTGTCACAGGAAAACTTTATATTTAATTAAAACTGGGATTTCAGTAGCTGAACACGCCTGTCATTGCCAGTTTTCAGAAATTGGAATAAGAAAAAATTTATTGGGTAAGGGAGTACAAAGGGTGTGTGTGTTTTTGGGCTGAAATATAAAATTTTAAGCAAGTTGCACTAAAATAATGACTGCACACTTCTACAGCACTATTAGACAACCATCTATACAGGTTATCAGCAAAATAGTTGATTTAGATTACTTGCACTTTAACAACTTACTGTGTATGACTGGTCTTCACTCATCAGCCATAACATTCTGGTGCTGAGCGGTGCTGAGGCACAGCCATGAACGTCACACGTCAGGAGTGAGAGTGTTTGAGAAATGGACACCAGTACCAAAATTTGGCCAAAGGATGTCATTCTGTTTTCGGCTGGTGGAAAATTTATGGAGATGAGTTTCTATTGATTAAAATGATTTAAACTAGTGGTGGGACTTTATACAAAATAAATCAAATTAATTAGAGGCTCTGTAATTAATTAATCGAAATTAATCGCATAATCGTTGAGGTTAATGCGCCCTCAAAGCAATTTTTTAAATTGAAAATAATGAGGCAGAGAAACGTTAGATACAGATATTATTACTGTAAGCTCAAGCTCTTTTAATTTCTAAGAAAATGTATTCTAATTTTTCAAATGTCACTTTGTGACTAGAAACAAGACCAAGTCAACAAAAAAGTATAATTACTAATAGAAAACACCTGCAACTGGTTCCTGAGCTTCTAAATTGTGTCTGTCTAGTTGAATTTCTGAAATAAATGGACTTTTGCACCATAATCATTCGTCCAGTTTCACTTGTTTGTTTAATTGGATGTTTTATTTAGCATTTCTGTTACTCATAATGTAGTAAAAACATATCTAGAAAAAAAATCCTTAAAAATGAGACAAGAACAGACACAAATATGACAGAAGACCTAAATGTACTCATTTTAAATACCAGAGCATGCATGACATATTTAGAGACTGATACAGTCAGCGTTACAGCGACTAAAACGATCAGGAACACTAACTGGTTCCAGTTGGATGACTGGAGGATGATGGGAAGATAAAAGATCATGACGAGGATTTAATGATCTGACGCCTGAGCTGTGAACAGGTGAGCGGACCTTTCTGGCATGGGAAGTCCCGCTGTCGCATTAAAAAGGTGATGGCTGCAGACCTGCAGATTCATGCAGCAGCAGCGAGTCTGGTGTGATCTCCAGCATGATCACACCTTTCTGGTTCCTCGCCTCCCCTGATGTGCTGCTTAAACATCCGCCGCTTTAGCTCCCGATCAGCTGATGTCTGACCACTTCAACACCTTTCTGCGATGTTGAAACTGTCGCTATTCTCACAAAAATCTAATTAACTGGCGTAATTTTTTAAATCTCTCTGATAGTTTTCTAGAGTGTTTCTGTTGCTTTAAGACCCGTTGTTTGTGACTGTTTACGGAGTAGTGAGGACACGGAGCATTTTCCTCTCAATACTTTTATAAACTTCTGCTAAGAGCAAAGCGTCATTCTGTCTGGTGCTTTCAGCGCTGCACAGATGTCACATGAATGTTAAAAATACAGCTTTCCTCGACTTTTGTAAAGCTGTCTGTGCCGGTTGGTGACTGCAGTAGCAGCAGAGATCCGAGGCGATCTCTGAAAATTGTCGGCGTCGTGGAGTCCGTAGTTTTCAGGAAGTTTATTTTATTTTTACAAGTTAAGAGAAGAGGCTGACGAGTTTTCCCAAATACTGCAGCAGTCCAAGCCAGCCAATTCCTTCAAATGATCCCCTTTTAGTAACCGTTAGCAGAGCACTGTGCATTGTTGTGTGCTTCAGTGATATCCGGCCTACCAGGAAATCGTGCAATGACAAAGGTTCCACCTTGCCTGAAATGCAATCTCTGATTAAATGCATGAATTCGCATAATTTTTTCTAATAATTATTTATAATTAATGTGCTAGTCTCACCTCTAATTTAAACTTTTTTGTACTGGATTCATCCTTCAGGCGTACCACGGTCATCATCAGGCAATGGAGGTTCTGGTGCAGTCTTTGCTGGATTTGGATGTTAGAAACCAGGAAGGACGTACACCTCTAGACTTGGCTGCCTTCAAAGGCCACGTGGAGTGTGTAGACGTCCTAATCAACCAAGGAGCCTCCATCTTTGTCAAAGATTCAACCTTGAAACGAACCCCCATACATGCTGCAGGTACTCGGATTCGGGAATCTAAACATGGTTCTGTGAGTAATTACATAAAAACGTATGATAAATACGGTTGTTTTCTTCTCTTCTACAGCTACTAATGGTCATTCAGAGTGTTTGAGACTGCTGATTGGAAATTCTGATCTTCAAAGTGCATTAGACATCCAAGATGGAAAAGGACAGTAAGTAAAATAACGTTTTCAAACTTTTCCTCGGTAATATTTCTGATCAATGTTAACAGTAGGATCTGTTCTTTCTCAGAACCCCGCTGATGCTGTCAGTCCTGAGTGGACACATAGAGTGTGTGTATTCTCTCCTTAATAAGGGAGCCAATGTTGAAGCCAAGGACAAACTGGGCAGAACAGCTTTGCATAGAGGAGTAAGTGTTTTTGTTTAATATGTGTGTTCTTTTGGTTGTTGTTGTTTTTACATTAATGGAGTTTATTCTCTTTTTCACAGCAGTTTGAATGTGTAGGTAAGGCTCAGGTGTATTAACAAGGGCTGCATTCCACTCAAAAGCTGTTTTGCTTGGGATGATTTTTTAACAGAACCCACTTTTGTGACACTCGTTAACACACCTGCGCCTTCTCTACACTTCCGTGCTAAAAAGTGCACTGTATTCTTTAACATAAGCCACTCCTAAAGGTTCTTGATTGTATTTTTATTTATAAAGGTGGACATTCTTTACAGGTAAGTCTGTGGTTGGATTTAATTTGGTTGGAGACTCCTTTTTCAGATTTGGAATAAGTCCTAAAACGCTAAAATATAAAAACAAGAATAAAACTCTATACAGAAAAACATATTAACAGTGGTCTTTCGTTAATCACGAGAGTTGGGTTCTAAAAATAACTCGCAATATGAGAAATACGCAAAGTAGTTAGCTTCTTTCTTTACAGTTATAGATGTTTGTAGTGTACACAGCTACTATTGGGTTCACACACACACAAAACACACCAGAATATCTGTTTCTCAACAGTTTTATTTCCAGCATGCATGCAGGGGTTATAAGTTTTATTTGCTCCAGCCGTGGCACAGCGCGCTACCACTGACACTGCCGTTCTCCTCTCCTCCGCAGACGTGCTCGTCCCAGCACACTGCCATAATCTTTTAAGGCTGTAAAACCCCTCACTTCACACTTTATACGCTTTTCTCAGACAGGCATTGACATTTTCAGGCTTTTCTCTTGTGTAAACACTGTCAAAGTTCAAACCTTTGTACTTTCAGACGCAGAACACAATTCACTGTAAAAAAGAAAAGAAAAATGCATCAAAATTCCTCCCTAAAAAAGAACGTGAAACTGCGGCGCCACGAAAAGTGAATCATGCTATAGTGAGGGACCACTGTGTGCTGAAAAACAAAATACAGTCCCGATCAAAATTTTAAGAACACTTGAAAAATGACCAAAAATCATATTTTGCATGGTTGGATCTTAGCAAGGTTCAACATAGTTTCACCATGCAACAAGAAATGGACGTGAGACGAAAGATTTTCTGAGCAGCAGTTTATTGAAAACAAAACACTTGAACTGAAACAGCTGATCAAAGGGACCACACCTCCAGAAAACCCCTCAAAACAGAAACCAAAGTTAAGCCCAGGGACGTGGATGCTACCCCCGTACAGGTCACCGGGTGGAGATTCGCTGGGTTGACTCCCCTCCATCGGCACCGAGACACTGGAAGAAAGCGCGGGTACGCAGTCTCCTCTTCAAATCCCACCAACGGCACGAGGCAGGACGGGGCCGGCTCCAACAGGCGTTACGGCGCCACAAGATGACAGCTGATACCCGTCAGCTCAGCAAGCTCCCTACGGGACCGTGACAGCTCGGACCGTAGTCTCACCCGCCGTCCACCACGCCTTCCACGGCCCCTACAACGCTTCCTCCAGTTAGCCCGATCCAGGAGCTGTCGAGGCACAAGCGGTGGTGCCAAGCGGCACTGGCATGAGGACGAAAAACTGGAACTCCTCCAGCCCGTCCAAGCACCCGGTTTCACTAGGCCAGCAGCCGACCGAAGTTCTAGAAGAGCCTCTCGGTCATAAGTCGGCAACAAAGTCACATTACACACGCAAACACTAAAAAGTAATAAAAAGATAAAATAACTGACAGGAGACAGACGGCTTGCCACGTACACCGGCGCCATCTTGGCGCATTTATTTAGTAGAACCTCCTTTTGCTGAAACAGCAGCCTCTAAACACTTCCTAGAGCTTCCAGTGAGAGTCTGGATTCTGGTTGAAGGTATTCTGGACCATTCTTCTTCACAAAACATCTCTAGTTCATTCAGGTTGGATGGCTTCCATCAGCTCTCTTTAACTCACACCACAGATTGTCAATAATATTCAGGTCTGGGGACTGAGAGGGCCATTCCAGAACGTTGTACTTGTTCCCCTGCATGAATGCCTTAGTAGATACTGAACAGTGTTTAGGGTCGTTGTCTTGTTTAAAGATCTAGCCACGGTGCAGCTTCAGCTTTGTCACTGATTCCTGGACATTGGTCTCCAGAATCTGCTGATATTGGGTTGAATCCATGTGTTCCTCAACTTTAACAATATTCCCATTCCCTGCTCTGACCACACAGCCCACAGCATGATGGAACCACCACCATGCTTTACTGTAGGTAGCAGGTGTTTTCCTTGGAGTGCTGTGTTCTGTTTCCTCCATGCATAACGACCCTTGTTATGCCCAAATAACCCAATTTTAGTTTAATTAGTTCTCAGCACCTGATTCCAAAATGAAGCTGGCTTGTCCAGATGTGCTTTAGCAAACCTCAAGCTGCTCTGGTTGTGCTGTGGGTGGAGAAAAGGCTTCCTCTGCATCACTCTCACATGCAGCATCTCCTTGTGTAAAGTGCGCTGAATAGTTGAACGATGCCCAGTGACTCCATCTGCAGCAAGAAGATGTTGTAGGTCTCTGGTGCTGCTCTGTGGGTTGACTCTGACTCTTCTCACCATTCTTCACCTCTGTTTACCAGAGATGTTTCTTGTTCTGCCACTTCGAGCCTTCACTTGAACTGTGGTCTTCCATTTCCTCAGCATGTTCCTAACTGTGGAAACAGACAGCTGAAACCTCTGAGACAGCTTCCTGTCTCCTTCCTCTAAACCATGATGGTGAACCATCTTAGTTTTCAGGTCATTAGTTGTTTAGAGACCTCCATGTTGCTACTCTTCAGAGAATATTCAAAGAGGAGGGAAACTTACAACTGACCCCCTTAAATACTCTTTCTTGTCATTTTTAATTTTTTTTTCACTTCTCAAATATCACTGTGTGCCTCCTACATGATATAAAAGTTAACAACCAACAGTTATACAGGAAAGTCATGAAGATTAGCAACACTGCCTAAACTTGAGTTTTTCTCAGCAAGTTATGAGGAAGAATAAAATATCTACTAAGCAGGATCCCGAGAAGCTACAGGGAGGCTTGGTTAACACCTAAAGGTTTTAACATGTTATTATATAGTAAGGATTTACCAACATGGTCGGCATAGATGAGTTTTAGAAGGAACACCATTGTTGTGAAATTCTTCTAAAATACTATCTCATGTATTCTGTAATTAGGCGGTGACCGGTCACGAGGAATGTGTGGAGGCCTTGCTTCAGCATAGCACCAACTTCCTGGCCCAGGACTGCAAGGGACGCACACCGATCCACCTGGCAGCAGCATGCGGTCACATCGGGGTACTCGGGGGTCTCTTGCATGCCGCCCAGTCAGTAGAAACACTCCCCATCCTAACAGACAGAGAGGGCTACACCCCGCTGCACTGGGCCTGCTACAACGGTACGGTCAGGAAGATTTCCTGGGCTTTTACACAAAACAGTCAATACATATATGTAAATGTATGTCTAGTGTTTAACCGTGTATGCACCTAAATAAATCATGATTGGTATAATGGAGACCTTAAGAATGGGCTTTTAAAACAGTCCGACGGTGGTTTTTATTTTTTATTTTATTTCTGACGTTGGCATTTCTTTCTTTGAGAGTAAATTAATGCTTTTCTATTTTGCAGGTCACGATACGTGTGTGGAGGTTTTACTGGAACAAGAGATTTTCCAAAAGGCAGAGGGCAACCCCTTCAGCCCTCTCCACTGTGCTGTGTAAGAACCTGAGTCGTCTTCAGTTTCAGTCGATGTGCCAAAGGAAGGCCCAGCCTCTTGACTGAGTAAACACTTGAGCTTTTTCTCCCTCTCCTTTTCTAGCTTCCGTGACAACGAAAGTGCTGCTGAAATGTTGATAGACACTCTTGGTCGAGTCATTGTTAATGCCAAAGACAGCAAAAACAGGTACTCACAGTCCCAAAGGTCATCGAGCAACGTTCTTCCTCTGGGGATTTTGTTCAGTAAATTAAAAGTTAGTCGTGAGTTAACACTAAAAAACGTGAACGTCTGTTTGCTTTTCTGATGAACTCGGATGTATTGCATGTTATTGTGCAGAACCCCCCTGCATGCTGCAGCCTTCGCTGACCACGTGGAGTGTCTCCAGCTGTTGCTGAGCCACAATGCTCAGGTCAACTGTGCTGATGCTGCAGGGAAAACGCCGCTCATGATGGCTGCAGAGAATGGACAGAACAATGCTGTCGGTATGAACACCTGGCTATGTTTTTCAGCAACTGTGAAAAATGATTAGAAGAGAAGTGGTGCTTTAATAAATGGTGCAATATTGAATTCAGCGGAGTTTGTTTTCCCTGCGTGTGATATTTCTCACTCAGAGCTGCTGGTGAGCAGCGCTAAAGCAGATCTCACTTTACAAGATGCTTTGAAGAATACTGCACTTCACTTGGCCTGCAGGAAGGTCGGTATTAGTGGTGGTGCTGCTGGCTGCATGTGTGTGACCTGTGCTTGCTTACATCATGCATGTGTGTGCACAGGGACATGAAACCAGTGCCTTGATGATACTGGAGAAGATTACAGACAGGAACCTCATTAATGCTACGAACGCCGCCTTACAGACGTATGTACCACTCAGTCATCTATCATCTGAATTTATTTAGAGTTTGCAATAATAAATCTAAATACACCAGACTAATAATTATTTCTTGTAAGGCCTTTGCACGTGGCTGCAAGAAACGGCCTGATTGTGGTGGTGCAAGAGCTGCTTGCAAAGGGAGCCAGTGTCCTTGCAGTCGATGAAAATGGTAAACACGCCGCTTTTTTTGTTTTGTTTTGTTTTGTTTTGTTTTGGTGCTCTTAGGGTTCATAAGGAAAACTGGGAAACCTTTGTCTGATTGGAGACGGTAGGAAACCTATCGACCGGAAGAGTTCTCACGTAAACAACAGTTTAGCTTTTAAGTTGTAAAATAATTTCACATTTATTTGGGAGTAACAGATGCAGGACGCACCTGAACTGTTTTGTTGGCAAAGCTTGTCAAAATTTTCCTGCTTTCACTAAAATTTGTAACCACAATCTTCAACTTACTGCAAAATGCATATGGTGTTCAATCATTTTAAACTTGTAAAGGCTTCTTTCCACTGGACACCAAGCGGCGTGTAACGACATAGAGGCGTTTTACCCACAAGCTCCCGTCCAACTGGGAGCAATTCTGACACCAAACGGGATCTAAAGCGTTTTACACAGCTGATCCCGTGAGGTCACAAAAATCACGGGAGAATTGCAGCACCACGCGTGATTTCAGAAGTCTGAAAACTGGCGTTACGCGGCCATTACGTGTCCGGTGGAAAGGAGGCTTTAGCGTAGTCGTATATTGGGAAAATAGAGAACACGTGTTCTCTTATGGTAGAGACCCAAGAACATCAATGATTTAGATGATTTTCTTGTAGAAACATGGCATCAAACAGATGGTGGACCAACCCTAAAACTTTAACGCTTTCATATATTTGACATCCTCCAGGTTACACTCCAGCCCTTGCTTGTGCCCCCAACAAAGACGTGGCAGATTGCCTAGCCCTCATCCTGTCTACCATGATCCCTGTGTCCCCCTGCACCCCGGCACCCCCCCACCCGTTCAGAGTGATTAACCACTACACCACCACCCCGTCCATGACCATCTCCTTCGACAGCCTGCCTACGGTACGCGACGAGCACACCTCCTATTGCAGCTTCAACAACATCGGCCATCATGATGGCTTATACAGGGAAGAGGACCTCAACGACTCCGATTCAGAGACGTACTGAAGGACAGGAGATAGCGTTAAATGCACAAACTCATATGCTGTGTCTTAAAAAAAATCACTTGCCACAAGCTTGGGAAGGCTGGAAGAAAGGGGAGCCCCCACGGGAGCAATAAGTGTCCCTGCTAAAATCACAGAGCAGGAGGTGCAGCAGGCTGGCCCACACCCATCCCAACCTCGTCCGGCACAAGGCGACCTTTGGCAGAGACAGGATGTCGGTGACCACTGCTTTACCAACACTTGATTCTTCGCGTGTGAAAATCTGAACTTCTTGGGCGGATGGCGACCGTTTTACAGCAATAACATGCTGAAGATGTGTGGTTGAGCGACACAGAGAACTGATCCAACAGGGACCAAAAAAAGAAAACCACGGGAGCATTTTTAACCCAGTTTTAACTGTAAAACGGCTCCAGGCAGGTTTGTTGATTACCAAGAATGAAGGGGGAATTCTCACTGGTTATCTTTAGCACTGCAACCGTCAAGATGCTTCACAGTCTGTACTTCATGCAGGGGGAGAGAAAAATCATTTATTTTTGAAGAGCAAATTTTTTATATACTTGCTTATTGTCTTAAACTCCCAAAAGTCGAATTCACTCACTGGGAAGTTTACAAACCTTTAAAAGATTATTATTATTAGGTTAACAACCCTGCTTTTCTACATTCACCTGTTCGCTGCAGTTTGGTTTTAAAGATTGAATTATTTGTTTACTTTTGGTTTCTGTTCATTTTGTGCCTTTAGTAATTAACGAAAAGACCAAGGGTTTGTAAAGTCAGCTGTGAAAGTGAACACTAGGTGAGTGTTCTAGTACTGATCCAGTACTGAGCGCTATACTCTGCTGTATAAGGAGGAACACTGTAAACAATGACAGGACAGCATTTAATCATCTTCTGAGTGATATTCCGTTTGCTCTGGTGTTAGTTTTGCTTGTATAAAAAAACTATTGTACAATGGTTCAAAAATTCCCAATTTTGTCGGTTTGAAAATAAAATTTTTAACTGGAAATCTGTACATTTGCTAGATTCAGTAGAATGGAAATGTATTTTTTCTTTTCTTAGCTTTTCCTTGAAGAGGAATGAAATTAGCATGTATATAGAAGTTTTGACTGAATTCAAAATCCCAGTGAGTTCTTTCAGTACTGAGATTGCTGTATATTTTAAGAGGAATAAATGAATTATTTAATAATGAACACGAGTCTGTTTGCTGTGAGCCGTTTCGTTGTTTTAAACAGGACCGTGGAAAATTCAGCATGCTCAAATTAACACTGTCAGAGTTTATTTCAACACTTAAAGTGTCTATATGGGTCATTCTGTACCGGGTCGGCCCGGGCCGGGTAGCGTAGGTTGTTTACATATCTGGGTGGCCTGGTATTTTTCCGGGCCAACCAAGGCTCATTCTCAGCCCTCTTCTCGAGGGGGTCTGCTTCAGGCCGACCAGGGCCAACACACCCACTGCTGACAGCAAATTCACACCTTCCATTAGAGCAAGCCTCTGATTGGTGGGTAGAATCAGCCTACATGGGTTTAAGGCAAGGGTGTGTGGAATCAACCGGGCCAGGCTGGGGCCGACTGCGGCTACCCGGCCCAGGCCGACCCGGTACAGATGGGAATGGCCCAATAGAGGTGACAGCAGCAGCACCCCAAACACCCCCCCACCACCACCCTGAGGGCCGACCAGTTCATGAAAATGCAAGGCCAAACTTTCGTCCCAGTGTCGGTACAGGATCTGCTCGGGGTCCTTCGACTGCCGATGACGTCAAAGTAGTTGATTGGCTAAACATGAAGCTTACGGAACTTACGTTATCACGTTATGATTTTGATTGGTCAGAACAAATTTGCAGTCGTAGTCTTAGCGGTTGTAGTCCTGTAGTCCAAAAATCAACACTTGCTGGAGAAAATATGTTTGAATTTCTAAAGGAAATGTAAAATATAAGCAAATGATAAACGGTGACCCTCAAAAGCTCTTGATGTTGATGAAATGGGGCAAAATAAAATATAAGAACTTTGTTGAAAGACACCAAGCAATATTTTGAATCAGATAATGTATTTAGATAACAACTAAGGAAATAAACAGACGAACTCCACATTAATACAAACAGATGTGGCTTCACATATAAGAACTGTTTGTTTGTCAGTCCGATGTTGGTTTAATGCAGTTTCACATTCTTTACAAAACAAAGATAATATGGTGTTTTATTAACAAATTACAATTATAAAGAAAACATTTAGGTGTTAACAAACAAGAATTTATTAACAAAACTGCTGATGTCTTTCCAAAACGTACGTGTGAAAGCCGAGTAGATTTGCAGTCATGTGACGTCATCGGCAGTCGAAGGACCCCGAGCCGATCCTGTACTGACACCGGTCCACTCCTTTCTACAGTCAGTGGTGTGTGTGTTTGCTGGTGTGTGTGTTTGCTCAGTAGACCTCAATATAAGACGAGAGAGAGAATATAATTTCAGTAAAAAATAATTAGAAATCATGAATAAATCCAAGCAGGATAAACACTGGAAAAGAAGAGGATTTTGAGATGGAAGGATGTGAGTTCCTCCATCTAGATAGGACAAATAAAAAAGGAGGTGGGGTGGCACTCTATGTTGATAAAAATTTAAAGTTTGAAAAAATGCGTAAAATGACGAGGGTGGTAGATGGCGTGATGGAATGTATAACAGTGGAAATATATATGAAAAGACAGGAAAAATATCATAGTTGCATATATAGAACACCAGGATCAAAGATTGAGACTTTTAAGGACATTATGGAGGACTTGTACACAAATCTGAATCAGAAAAGAATGTTTATTTGTGGAGACTTTAATACTGATTTATTGAACCCAAATCATAATAAGAGTACTGAAGAATTTATTGAGGCAATGTACTGTATGGGAGTATTTCCCCTGATAACAAGACCGACGAGAATAAGCACTCATGGTGCAACTCTATTAGATAATATTTTTACAAATGTAATGGAAGAAAATATAAAAGGCGGGATATTGATAAAAGAAATGACCACTTACCAGTCTTTGTAACTTATGACTGTTGCTATAAAGTTCATAGAAATGTATGCAAGATGATATATAAAACAACTAGAACAGAAAAGACAATGCAGTGTCTCAAAAATGAGTTAATAAAACAAGATTGGACTATTGTATATAAACTTAAGGATGTCAATAAAGCCTATGAGGCATTCTTAAGTATATTCATGGCCTTATTAGAGAAAAACAGCCTACTTATTGAAGTCAACAGGAAAGACAAATATACAGGAAGACCATGGATGACGAAGGGACTGCAAAACGCCTGTAAAAAAAGAACACTTTATATAGAGAATTCATTCAAAAGAGAACTACAGAATCTGAAAAGAAATATAAAAAGTATAAAAATAAATTAATTATCATAATGAGAACTTGTAAAAAAGAACACTTCATCAAAAAGTTAGAAGATAATAAAGATAGCATGAAAGGGATATGGAATGTATTAAATAGTATAATAAAAAATGCACCAAGGACTAATGACTACCCTGGGTATTTAATGGAAGGGACAAATACTATTAGTAAAATGAACAAAGTAGTAAATGAATGTCATGATTTTTTTGTACATATAGGGCCAAAACTAGCTGCGGAAATAAAGGTTGATATGATAGAAAGGGAGACTGGAGGAAACATTGAAAGGAATGCAAGTTCAATGTTTTTAAGAGCAGTGGAAGAGAAGGAGATATATGATATTGTCAGTGGTCTTAAGAACAAAACAAGTACTGACTTCCATGATATTGATATGGTAACAGTAAAGAGAGTAATTGATGGTATTGTAAAACCGCTACAGTATATTTTTAATTTGTCTTTCCAGGAAGGGGTTTTTCCACAAAAAATGAAAGTAGCAAAAATTATTCCCATTTATAAATCAGGAGAAAAGCATTGTTTTACAAATTATAGACCAGTGATGGTACTCTGCCAGTTTTCTAAGATACTGGAAAAACTATTTCTAAAAAGACTTGATAACTTTGTGGATAAACATGATCTGTTGGCAAATTGCCAGTATGGGTTTAGAAATAACAGATCAACAGTTTTGGCATTGATGGATTTAATGGAAGAAATAACAGAATGTATGGATAACAAGAAGTATGCACTTGGAGTTTTTCTAGATCTAAAAAAAGCATTTGATACTGTTGACCACAAAATTTTAATAATCAAACTGGAGAAATATGGGTTCAGGGGTGTGGTATTGGATTGGATAAAAAGCTATGTGATGAATCGACAGCAATATGTACAAATAAATGAGTTTAAATCTAAATTGATGGATATTGAGTGTGGAGTACCTCAAGGATCAGTATTGGGACCAAAAATGTTTATAATGTATATAAATGATATTTGTAAAGTATCGAAGATCCTAAAGTTTGTAATTTTTGCAGATGATACCAATTTACTTTGTTCAAGTGGGGAATTTCAACAGGTTGTGGAGGTGATCACACAGGAGTTAAAGATATTAAAGACGTGGTTTGATAGAAACAAATTGTCCTTAAATTTAAATAAAACAAAATTTATGTTACTCGGAAACCATAAGAAAGATATTAACATCGAAATTTGTGTTGATAATGTGTATCTAGAAAGGGTTAATACCATAAAATTTCTTGGTGTGAGCATTGATCATAAGGCCTGTTGGAAATCACACATCACTTATGTGAGGGGAAAGTTAGCACGGGGCATTGCTGTCTTAGGGAAAGTAAAACATTTTCTGGATAGGAAAACATTATATATGTTATATTGTGCTTTACTATTACCATACATGAGTCATTGTGTAGAAGTTTGGGGAAACACATATAAAAGTAATATTCAGACTATAATCATAATGCAGAAAAGGGCTATTAGACTAATAAATCAGGAGGGGTATAGGGCTCATACAAACGCACTCTATATTAAGACGCAAGCTTTAAAATTCCAGGACCTGGTCAAGTTTAAAACAGTGCAAATAATATATAAGGTAAGGAAAGGGATGCTCCCAACTGAAATAAGTAAACGGTTCTTAGAAAGAGAAGGGAGGTATAATTTTAGAGGGAAGTGGAATTTAAAAGTACAAAGAGTAAGAACAACATTGAAAACGATGTCTATCTATAGCGGGCGTTAAATTCTGGAATGAGTTAACAGAAGAAATAAAGGTCAGTAATGATATAAACCAGTTCAAAATAAAACTCAAACAAGAAATGTTAAATAAGTATAAGAACGAAGAAAATACAATTAACCCAGGACGGCATGCAAACTGATGTTTAATCTCTTCTACAAATTAGCAAATCTAAATATAGTTCTAGTTGAACATGAGAATTATTTTTCTTTTTGTTTGAAGGTGTTGTAAATGTTTTGTTGTTCAAATTGAGATGATGAGGATGTAAACCTGAGGGGGTGGGGCTAAATAAGTATATACTTCTGCCTACTCCTTTTCAAACAACTGCTTGGAAGGATTTTATGAAATGTTGGTGAATGTTTATGTTTGAAATGAACTGAACTGCCGTATTAAGAGGGCCACGTTCCCCCTGCCTCCTTCAAATTTACGTCCGTGTGTGTTTCTTTAAGACAGTCGCTTAGACGTCACAGGTAAAACTCCGGTGATTGGTTAGTTACCCAGAAGGCAAGCAAGGGGCGTACCATGGGGCGTACGTAGAGCGAAAAGACTAGTAGTGTGGTACCAGTTAACGATAGTCTCTGGAGGAGTCATGGATGAAGTGACAGGCGCTCAGCTGGTTGCTGAGTCTCTGAAGGCTCAGGTAAGGTACATGTATGTATATATGTACGTATATGTATATAATACATGTACATATGTCGATAGTAAGTCAGAAAAATAAACTCTTCACAAGTGTTCCTCATTCTGTGTCAACGTTCAGCTTCCCTGGGCTGCCAGGGTTAATAAACTCATTAATATCACTTTTAATTACCAGAATAAACAAAAATGGTTTCTCTTTAGAAAGTGGAGTACATGTTTGGGATTGTTGGTGTTCCTGTCATTGAAGTGGCCATGGCTGCTCAGGCCGCGGGGATCAAATATGTAGGAATGCGCAACGAGCAGGCGGTAAATGCGAGCAGATCGGTCCGCAGCTGTGATGTTTCTACATTTACTGAAGGATGATGTCTCCCACAGGCATGCTATGCAGCCTCAGCCGTCGGATACATGACTGGGAGGTAAGAGTGGGTGAGGGGGATCATGGATGCTGCTGGTAGTCCCTGAGTCACTTGTTAATGTCTGAATGCAGGCCAGGAGCGTGCCTGGTGGTGTCTGGACCTGGGCTCATTCATGCTCTGGGTGGGATGGCCAATGCTAACATGAACTGCTGGTAAAAGCAAACATCTTGACTCCATTTGTCTGAAGTTCATAGCGACTGTGTTGTTTGTGAAGCCCGGTGACCTTTGCTCAGGCCTGTGATTGTTATTGGAGGGTCCTCGGATCGAAACCAGGAAACAGCAGGTGCCTTTCAGGAGTTTCCACAGGTCTTTGATGTCTTTTGAAAAAACAGATATTTATCTTTGCCTGTTAGTTCGTCGTTGCGTTGACCCTGATTGTTTGTGTCCAGGTGGAAGCATGCCGTCTGTACAGCAAGTTTTCTGCCAGACCAAGCAGCTTGGAAGCCATCCCATCAGTCATGGAAAAGGTGGTCACTTTACTCATGTTTGTCCTCGTCTGCTGACTCATCAGCTGTTCCTGGATGATACCAAAGGCCTACACCAGTCAGGGTCTACTTATTCTGTTTTCATAGGCGGTACGCACCAGCATTTATGGGCGACCAGGTGCTGTTTACGTTGACATTGCAGGGGACATGGTGAATGCTAAAGTAGAAAGGACAAAAGTCAGGTTTGTTTTCCACATTTTTAAGTAAAACCAGGAGTAAGACTCTCTAGGAGTTGGGTTGATCGGGTTTTCTCCTGCAGAGGAGTGTCCTGCTGTTCACCTCCTCCCGTGAGCTTGGCCGACCACACTGCAGTCACAGAGGCCGTTGCTCTCCTAAAGGCAGCAAAAGCACCCTTGGTGATCATTGGCAAAGGTAGAAACAGTTATGCTGTTCCTTCTCAATTTCTTACACTAATCAGGCTAAACATGCACGTGGAGGATATCTGGTGGGTACAGTTGGTATTACAGATGCATTCTGATGCTTGGAAGGGTGTTTTGTTCGACAGGAGCAGCCTACGGCAGAGCAGAGGCAGTGTTGAGGGAGTTTGTGGAAACAAGCGGATTGCTGTTCCTGCCCACACCGATGGGAAAAGGAGTCGTACCTGATGATCACCCCAACTGTGTGTCTGCTGCCCGCTCCAGGTCAGACGCACTCAAAAAGAGCAAGCGGCAGGACTGAACTTTATTTATTCAGCCCAACCTGCAGCAATGCTAGTCATTTTACCCAAACTTGTTTGAAGTGAAACTGTTCCGCAAAATTCACTTTATACCCAGAAAATATTCATTTTCTACTGTTTTAAGTTTTCTACGTGTTTAAAAATGTGCTTAAAAAGGAATGCATCATTCCTTTGTCCGTGCCACGAAGAGCTCTCCTCCAGGCTGATGTTGTGCTTTTGCTTGGAGCTCGACTAAACTGGATTCTGCATTTTGGTCTGCCACCCAGATTTAATCCCAACGTAAAGATCATCCAGGTTTGTAAAGTTATGAAAATCGGCTGACATGAAGCCAGGAATGTGTCTTGATTTCACAATCGATGCAGTTAAGGTGTTTGGACTGCCTCTCCTGCTCTAAACCTACTGCAGATGCTCTACTATCTGTAACTGGTGTGCTCCTCCTGCAGGTGGATCTCTGTGCTGAGGAGATGGGGAACAACGTGAGGCCGGCTGCTGCTCTCCTGGGGGACATCAAAGCTGTAGTTTCTCAGGTGAGATCACAGCTTCCTTAAAAAAGCACTGACAGCTTTTGGGTGTGTGTGCTTTTGTTCAGTGTACTTTCAGAACTGTTCTTCCACTTTCCTGTCAGCTTGTGGCGCTTATCAAGAAAGATGGCTGGAAATATCCTTCTAACACCGAGTGGTGGAGCATGCTGAGAGAGAAGGCCGCTGCTAATACAAAAATATCAAAGGTAAGTTTGACCCCACTACCATATAAAACTGTTGTATGTTTCCTGTTTTATATTTTATGTCGTTTTACACATTTATTGTCTTTGTTTAGGCTCTTGCCCTCAGAGCCACACCACAGATGAACTACTACACCGTGTTTCACCACATTTCTGAGCTGCTGCCACATGACTGCATCATTGTTAGCGAGGGTGCAAACACCATGGACGTCGGGCGTACCATGCTGAATAACTCTTTACCTCGACACAGGCAAGGCAGAGAATCAGGTCATTTCTCAGATTCTCAGACAGCCAAATTACGACTCATCGTCTTAAGGCACTTCACAAAATTCAAAAGTTTTATAAATGAGGTTCCAGGACATTTCATAAATATGTCACATTTGGAATTTTCTCATTTGCCTTCAAAAAAATCATTCAGGTACATGGCTGAATGCCACATCCAAGTCCTAAAAACACATTTAGATTGGTTGGGCTTACTCCCATGCACCCCTCAGGACCCTGCAACGGGTATAGAGCTGGTCCAGAACGAAAACCACATTGCTCCTCTTAAATTCAAGGGTTGAATATCCACCAGACTGTTCTCTCCAGAACCTCTGAATAGACCTCACCAGGGATACTCGGGAGTGTGATCCCCTGTAGTTGGAACACACCCTGCAGTCCGCTTTTTTAAATGGGGGACCAACACCCTGGTCTGCCAGTCCAGCAGAACTGCCTCAATGTTCACACAATATTGCAGAGCTGCTTCAACCAACACAGTCTCACAACATCCAGAGCCCTGAGGAACTCCGGGTGGATCTCATGCACCCTGGTGGCCCTGCCACCGAGAGGCTTTTTGACCACCTCGGATATTTCAGCACCAGAGATTGGCGATTCCAACCCAAGGTCCCCAGACTCCATTATCCTCACTGGACAATCCGGTGGGATGGAGGAGGAGATTGAACTACTTCGCCCACAGATCCCTCAGGTGATGTATCAGCTAGGACCTGTTTGCCAGGGGTAACCCTACCAGGGGGTGTTAAGTCCCAGACAACTTAGCTCGTAGGGTCGCTGAGAAACTCACATCCCTTCACCACAATAAGGTGGCAGCCCAGGGAGAGGGAAGCTGTGTGCAATAATGCTGTTGCACTTTGCCAACCGGTGTCGATTTACAAATGCTGTTGCTGCAGTGCTGGCTCACGCTGACTCGACGACCTCACAGGCTCACGTATTGTAAACAAAGACTATTTTCCTCTTTAGCTTTTTTGAAAGAAGAAAATCTGACAACCCCCAGAGAAAGATCTGTGTAAATGTAACCTTCCTTACAACATAATCGAGACTGTTGGGTGTAAAATTCTTGCATATTACCTTTAAAGTTACGTACATCTTTCTGTCAAGGTTTTCTTTATAAATGACAGAGCTTGTGTGGAAAGTCACTTGTGCAGTTGTGGGTTTAGGTAAGTGGTATAAATGAGGTTCCTGGACATTTCAACTATAAATAAGTAGGTCAAACCTTAAACAGCAACGTTATTCCCTGGAGTTGTTCCAACAATGATTCTACAACTGAATTCTGACATTTAGAAAAATAATTTCAAAGTCTGTTTTTTGGATTAAATTCGTTTTGCTTTGACACTCAGGTTGGATGCGGGCACATTTGGGACGATGGGAGTTGGCCTTGGGTTTGCTGTTGCAGCTGCTGCTGTAGAGAGGAGCAGGGAGAAAGGCAGACGGGTGGTCTGTGTGGAAGGAGACAGTGCCTTTGGGTTTTCTGGGATGGAGGTTGAGACCATGTGCAGGTTGAGTCCACTCAGATAAAGTGGAAACTAATTAGTTCTGTTCTTAAAACATCTTGAATTCACAATCATCTTGTTTTTCCAGGTATAATCTACCTGTGGTTATCATTGTGGTTAATAATAACGGCATATACAGCGGTGTTGATGCTGAGACGTGGAAAGAAATGGCAAAGCTGGGAGATCTGACCTCTGTGTGAGTGTGACAATAAAGATCATATGTTGTTACGTACACTATGATGTTGTGTCTGTTAGTGATGTGATGTTGCCTTTTAGAGCCCCTCCTGTGTCCCTCCTACCTGAGGCTCGCTATGATGAGGTCATGACAGCTTTTGGGGGCCGGGGGTTTCTGGTGAGGACTGTGGAGGAGCTTCGTAGCGCCTTACAGACCAGCCTGAGTGACTGGGAGAACCCCAGTCTCCTCAACGTGCTCATAGACCCCTCATCGGATAGAAAACAGCAGGTACTCGCAGCTTTACAGAGGCATGAATCCTTTTGTGGCGGTTGAGGGCGTAACTGATTCTGACAGTTCACTCTGATATGACACTGCACGAAGACAATTCTTAGACATTTTAGGGTCATCTCTGCAGCTGTAAGGAAAAACTCTTCCATCTTTTGGCTCCTGTTAAGAATTACAACTCATCCAGAGCTCTTCCAAATGCCAGTTCACATTGGGGATTAAATCTCATCAAATGTGTGCGTATGAGCGCACGTCTGAAATCCACAACAGATACAAACTGTTTCCTTTCATTTACAAAAGATTGTTCAAAGAACATCTGCATTCAGATGTTTTTCTTTTTAGTGAAAAAGTGAAACTCACGGGAAGTAAAACGTGCCAGAGCAGAAAAGTAAGCTGTGACTCTTAAATTTAAGATTTGTGTACAACTTCAACAACCCTGGCTCTCGTCTCGTCCTCTCAGCGCGTTGAGATTGACCTGCCGCCCTGACCATTAGTCCCTACGCCCTAGGGCCCTCGTTTATCAGCCATGTACTTACGCACAGATCTGTTTCACCAGTTTGTACTTGTACGTAGAAATGATCCTAAATATAAGAACAGATCTGAAACAGCATCTAGTGGTAGGATGGGAGAACTGCAGGTCTCACTCATCAACTCATGTTCCTCATCCACAAATTACTTGAACACAATAAGTAATTTTGTCTACGGAGAAACAGCTTTACCTCATAACTGGTGTGAGAACCTGTAGAAGACACCAGGACCAACAGGAACCTGACATGGTGGGTCTTGTGGGTTTGGAGGATTTGGCAGAGCGTGCACTCTGGAGGGAACACGTCTTGCATGGTCTCCTTCAGAAATCAAGGAAGGAGATCGTTCTGGAGTTATGTCGTGATTTTGGGCCCTTTTATGGAGCAACAGACACATCGCACTAATCCGAATCCGCTATGAGAGCAAACGCGCCAGAACTGCCTGCCCGAAGAAACACCCACAGCCAAACTGACATCTGTGTAGCTCTGCACTCAGACAACAAACATTTCCTAACACAACTACTCATCTAGACTGTAAATGACAACAGAAGGGAACATCCAGTTATTCTACGCTTTCCGACAGGAACCTCTCCTCTGTCCCCACCATGGTCGTCTTCTACTTCTGCAGCCAGTGCCTCCTTCTCACTGCCAATAAAGTTTTTATTTATTAGAAGAATGCAGGGATTTCCTCATGAGCTGAGGATGTGTTGTGACCAAATATAGTTAATTGAGGGTGTTTCTGTTTGTAAATGATGGTGAACGGACATGAGCACCTGAGTACACACAGGTGGGATTTATCATGAATCGTTTGCAGAGGAACATGCGTACCACTGTGTGTGTGTGTGTGTGTGTGTGTGTGTGTGTGTGTGTGTGTGTGTGTGTGTGTGTGTGTGTGTGTGTGTTTTGCAGGAGTTTCCTTGGCTCACACGCTCCAACCTCTAATCGCCCACATCATCAGAGCAGCGATGGTGATGTCCTGCCAGAAAACTATGAAGCTGTTTTTAAAGTTTTCCATGAAGTAACTGAATGTTTTAGGATTCTTACTAAACTGTAATATTTCAATGCACAACACAATAAAACCTCTGGGGGCTTTTGTAATAAATCTTCTTATATCATCAATCAGTATTTTTTTCTAATAATCAAGATAGAAAATTAGCATTGAATTTTTTAACAATAAACTTGTTTAAAAAGGAAATAAGCTGGAGTCTTCATTATTGTCACAGATTGATTGTAATAATGTGCAGGTTTTGCAGACAGAAGACCTTCGTAATAAGAACACAAGTACGCAGAAAACCCGTTTTGTTCCTGAAGATTTCGAGCCTCTGTTTAGTCGCTAACGTGAAGGCTTTGCTTCAAGGCAGATGCAATAAATGAGACAGAATTATCTGGCAGTATTTCAACAAAAATGTAATTGTGAAATAAATGTAAGGATTTTTGTAAAGAGATCGTTTGAGACTTCATAATGCTAGTGGAGGGTCATGCAGGTCAGCAGTAGCTCAGGAGGTAGGGATGGTTATCCAGTAATGGGAAGGTTGTAGGTTAGATTCCAGCTCCTGCCAGAGATTTAACAATACATTGAAAGTTGACCAATAATTCTCTGATAGGAGTTTGGTACAAAGTGATGAGCCACAACCAGTGCTAACGTGGAAATAAGTTGTGTAAGCTGAATTGTATGCATGTTACTGGGCAGCGGGAGGTACAGAGGGTAGGTTTGATCCCAGCTCCCGCCTGAGAATGCTGCTGTTGTGTCCTTGAGCAAGACACTTAACTCTCCCTGCCTACTGGTGGTGGTCGGAGGGACTGATGGCGCCAGTGTTCAGCAGGCCCCGCCTCTGTCAGTTGTAGTGAAAATGATTGACTACATTTTTATTGATATGACCGATAAGATGTGATGATTTCATATAAATATTAAATATTAACCTGATTGATCTTTGAATGTTTAATCAGAAGATTCTAGTTGCTGTACTTATTCAGGGACCATAAACACACTTCGTATTAATTCAGACAGTCAAGTATGTAGTTTATAAAAATGAATTTATTTTTCCTAAACTAGGGGTCATACATGACCAAGTATGAATAATGAGATGTAATGTAATGGGTATGACGTAATGTGATGTGTGGAATGTTGTAATGGAAGCTAGATGTTTGAGCAAAACCGTTCTTTGGATCTGAGAGAATTTGTGAAGTCTGGGTTGTAAAAGTCAGACTATTCAGTAATTGGTTTATAAAACCATCCGACACAATCTGTGCCAAGGCCACGCACCCTTTTGTGGAGATTCTCCTGCAATCCAAGGGGTCAAGAGGTCGTGATGGACACTGCTGATGGAGTGAACCTCTCGGTACCAGGAACCCGTGGATTAGCTCCGATAGGACCCGTCTACTCTGAGATCTCTCCAGGTGATGACAGCAAGCTGGAATGCTTGTTTAAGTCTGTTTGCTCGGCTCTTAGAAGAACCGTTTGTCTGACATCACTCGCAGCGTTGCAGAGAGGCTTTGACTGGAGGTCAAGGAGAAAGGAGAAGATGGTTTCAAAAATGCTTCTTCCCCGAAATGCTGAAATGGGAATCGGCTAGAAACAGAATTAATCTGGAAGGAATTCTTGTTTTATTGAACTCCTTGTTTATAACTTTTGGCAAATCAGAATTTGACATGTTTGAGGTGTAATGAATTGGAGTACAGGTTATTCAATGAGCCATAAGGCGTGGGATTCCATAGGAAATATGAAATCCACCTTACGGATCGGTGAGGTTATTTAAACCAGAAGATTGGAACTTTTATTGCAGGGATTAGGTAACCGCTTCGTATTCACTCCGAGACAACAGAAGAGAGAGAGTCAAGTTTAAAAGTTAAGAATTTTATTACTAACAAATTAAACTAGACTGACTTTAAAACTAAATGTATGGTGTAACTAAAGTGGATGAGGCGGTGAATGGATGACGTGTGATGTTGATCAGAACCAGCAAATCCGAAGAAGCGATTAGTTCTGACGGGAACTGAAGGTGATGTCTTCGCATTAAGCTTTGGTTAGGAGGTCCATGAACACATGAGGCACCATCTGCCGGTCTACCTACCCTTCAGGAAGTCCCTGATAGATCAGGAATATCGAGGTCCAGCTCGACCCTCTCTGGAACCGAGCCGGTAGGAAAAGCAGCGGTTCCGATCAGTCCAGTCTGTGAGTTACTTCCGGGTACACGACAATTTGTTGGCGTCTGGTGAGACCCAAGCCTGGGTCTTGATGGTTCAGCTTTTATTCTGAAAGGAACTGTTGCCGCAGTTGGAATAGCAACAAATTTTTCAGCTTGTCGTTGGTTCTTTCGGTTAAAGAGTTGTAGATCAGGATTGGCCACTCCATCGCCTTCTCTGGAACGCTTTGAACTGGAGTTAGAGATGACGTGGCGTCGTTTTATACCTCGGATGTTGTGGTTTATTGTCGAATGAAAAATTACCAAACACTATCAGAACCACGCCTCCGTCAAATCTGTAAGATTCTGATTGGATCAGTGAAAGTAATGCGTCATGTCTTTTTAACGCTACGTGAAATGAGTCCTGTTGGAACACTTAAAGTCACAGTACCTTTATATTCTATAGGATCATAATAAAGTAATTAATATTTTGGTTTCACATATTATTTATTGACTAACACTTTGATGGATTAGCTTTATTAAAATAGAGTTCTTTGATTGATTAAAAGAAAAGAGTTCATTCTTTGTTCTTCTGTTGAGCTGAAAATAAGCAGGTTAGGAGGAATGCATGACACCTTGAGACTGTCTCTCATGCAGACTAGTCTTGTGCAGAGGAGGGAAAAAACAGTCATTCTGTTCCGTTACAGAGGGCTTTACCAAAACTTTCCTTCAGATACAAAGGTGGTAGACATTTAGTGAATGAGAATGTTTTAAAACACTTATGTGAAGTGAATATTAACATTAAGTAATGTGTATGAGTGTAGATATCGATTAACTTGTTAAGTCAAACATACTGATCTGGTGTAGATGAGATCTGAATTGGATCATTGCAGGAACAATATTCATTGTAAAGCCATTATTGATTTAGGCACAGATTATTCAAACTTTTGATTTAAACATCATGTTCATTCAACACATATGATTATTGTATCTTATAAGCTTTAAAGTCATGTAGGAGCTGCCAGGAGTTTGACTTTATTCAGTGAGAAAGCAGCAGTCTGACTTGAGGCCTTGAGCAAAGATGCTTTGGCTTCTTGTGGTAGCCAGAACGGTGCACCGTTCGGACATGTCCGAGTCTTGTTGTGGAAGTTGGAGCCCAGACAGACGGGGTTTTCGTGTCTGCAAAGGAAAGGTTACTTTCTGGTCTGTTTGGTGGTGGAAAATTGACCACTTGGTACATTACACAGTGTACCCCAGGGCAGCTATGGCTGCTTCATAGCACATCCCCACCAGGGTGAATGTGTGTGTGTAAATGGGTGAATGACTGATTGTGTTGTGAAGCACCTTGGGGGGTTGTAGAACTCTAAGAAGGCGCTATACGCTATATATGTAGGGCGGTGGTGGCACAGGTGTTAAGTGCTTGCGCCGTAATCGGAAGGTTACTTTGAAAAAATGGGACCCAATGCCTCCCTGCTTGACACTCAGCATTACGGGGTTGGATTGGGGGGTTAAACCACCAAATGGTTCCCGAGCGCGGCTGTGTCTGCAGCTCACCGCTCCACCAGGGGATGGGTCAAATGCGGAGAACAAATTTCGCACACACACCTGTGTGTGTGACAACTAATGGGACTTTAACTTAACTTTAACTTTCGGTTGCAGGTTTGAGCCCCACTCGGTCTGTCGCTGTCGTTGTGTCCTTGGGCAAGACACTTAACCCACGTTGCCTGCTGGTGGTGGTCGGAGGGACCGGTGGCGCCCGTGCTCGGCTGCCTCGCCTCTGTCAGTGCACCCCAGGGCAGCTTTGGCTACATCGTAGCTCATCCCCATCAGTGTGTGAATGGGTGAATGACTGATTGTGTTGTAAAGCGCCTTGGGGGGTTCCAGGACTCTAGAAGGCGCTATGTCAAATACAGGCCATTTACCATTTAAACAGCCCTGTATAGGTTGAATTGAGAACGCTCCATAAACGAGAGGCAAACATTTACAAAAGGAGTAAAGAACTTTTAAAGACTTAAAGTAACAATTTAGATTGCAAATGACTTTATTATTTTCTCTAGTAAATTCAGTTTTCCAGCAGTGGGTTGTCAACAGGAACAGTTTCCATGAGAAAAGAATAAAGACAAGAACTATAATACAAGGTAAAAAAAAAAAAACATACAAGCAGCAAAAGATACATGTGAAAAATAAGAAAGGGAAACAATTAACCTTTTCCCGTTGTGTTTTGTAGTTGGTAAAAAGCAGGCAGGCAGTAACTTTATCTGTACGAACTTTATTACATCAGGAGGGACACGCATACACGGCGTTCGTCTTGTAACTGTTGGGGTTATTAGGAGCGAATAATTAGTAAGTTTTAACTTACTTTTGGATTCTTCAATAAATTCTGTAAATATGGGAATATTTACTGATTTATTAATCAATTAAGATATTCTTAGATATCTACGGGGCACCATCCCTTTAATTAGAAAGGGAAATGAATCCAAAACCTTATCAGTCTTTCTTGAAGTTCGTATAATCCTTGGAGCAGAGACTTCGCTTCGACACAACAAATCTACTGGAGGCAAAAATCTGAATTTTATAACATTTAATTAACAATTTGTCAAATGAATAAACAGTGGAATAAATGAATAATAACCACGTGATATAATTGAAGATGGATGTGTTTGCGTGTGATGGAGGATGTATGAATGGGGTCCTTTGTTCTCACAAAGGAGTGGTGTGTGTGTGCGTGTGTATGGATTCAAAATGGAGTCTTGAATACAAGATGGCTGACCCCTTTGTCTGGCTAAAGTGTGGGTGGCAACTTGCACTTTAACTTCCAAAGCACTTAGAATCAGAAGTAACTTAACCTTAAAATCACTCAAAACAATTCAAAATGGTCATGAAACAACACAAAAGGTTAATCCTGAATTAATATATTTTTAGTTTAACCGCTTGGCCATAGCAGAAACCATTTTAAGATACCAAACAATGATCAATAAGC